GAGATGAATTAAAGCTATAACCTCAGGCCTAGATATAGGTTAGTAACAGTGCAGGCTGTGCAACCAGCCTTGGAGAAGGATAACTGAATTCAAAACTGGTTGGGCATAGGTCTAGCAACTTCATCCTATAAAAACCTGCTTACTACAGGAACCACTGCAGCAACATCTAATTTTTTTTTTTTTGAGAACTTTGGCCCTCTGCTCCTCAGTGGAATCTGTGGGGTTTGAGTTGAGTATAGTCAATGTCTGATATGATAATAATTTTTGTTACTGTAATATTTGAGTTTAAATTTATATTTCCCTTTAAATATATGAAAGAAAGAATCCTTGAAATATGTTTACGTGAGTATTTTTTTCCTTTTAAAAATAAAGAGAGTAATTTAAAAATAACCAAGTCCATGAACTTTTAAAATCTGACGAAAATTGTCATTCCCACCTGTTAAGGTTTTAAAATTATTTATATAATTGAAAAAGAGGAGAATACAAGAAAAATCTGATATAACATTATATTTAGCTTTTTCATAGAAACAATTATGGGCATTTAAAATATATATATATATATATATATATATATATATACACGCACTTTAAAAATGTCTGTACTCTTGTGTCAGTGTAAAATGAGAAATTTTGTGGTGTGCACTTACAGTTTACAATTTTAAAAATGTACTTATATTCAACTAAATGAAAATAAAACTTTTTTATTTTTTAAAAATTTATATTTGTTCACTCCCCACACCTTATTTAATTCCAGTTATTTTGTAATTACTTTTTCATAGGTATCAACATATAATTTTAAACTTGTATTGATACTTTATTTTAAAAACATAGTTAAGATTTTTAAAATTTAACTCTTATATATTTAAATGTTTTTAAAAAGATAATAGCCCAGATTATGGCCTAAAGAATTTTCTTTCTTAATTAGGTAATGAAAAATTTTTAAATGCTTTAAAATTTTCAGGGTTTTATTCATTTAACACACACACACATACATACATACATACATACATATATATATATATATATATATATATATATATATATATATATATATATATATGCATGTTTTATTAAAAATGACAGAAAAGTACTATGGTTAAGCTTTTTATTTAATTTTTCTTGTGTTTGAACAAGAGCATTCTTTTCTGGACAAAGAGTGTGTAAGAACTCTCCAAATGTTTTATATTTCTGAGCACTTCCGGTTATACCTTTAGCCTTTATCAAGGATGATTCGAGTTTTCAGCTTAATTAAGTGTGTGCATTCTGTGTATGTTTTAGTGTGTGGTAGGGATGTTTTTAATTTCCAAATACAGTTAGCACATTGTGGCTTTGTTTGTAGTTAATATTGTTAATAATATTGTTCAATGAAACATGCATAAAGGAAGGATTACTCCCTAAACATATAACTCTCCTCTCTCTCTCTCTCTCTCTATATATATATATATATATATATATATATATATATATATATGAGAAATTGAATTTTTTAAAACTATCTACTATTGGAAAAAAATTTTAATTTTCTCTATAGATTAAGAAAGGAAAGCCAGATGATGTAATATAAATAAAACTGGATCAGAATTCTGTGGGTTTGCAGAAAATTCTCTTTCCCTACAGAAAATCCTCAATGAGATGTTTGCCCACATCCTTAGCTGACATAATCACCACTGACATGATGGAGCTGTGCTTAACTTAATCAATTAACTCACCTACAACTCCTACAACAAATACAAAAGATATGGAATAATGTATCACAGAATAGTAATCACTATCTGTAAAATCATACACATATGAAAGTACAAGGCTTGTGTTAATGCCTTTTGAGTACTATTGATACACCTCCTTATTTTGGAACCTGTACAAATATTGGCCCGAAGGTGTAATCTTACTGTAATTGAGGCCATATTAACTGTACTTTTAGACTTAAGTAAATTGAAACAAATGTTTAGGTTGTACAGTTTTATTTTCCATCAGTGTAAATATCTTATGAATTTAAATTACATCTATTCATTCTTTTTTATACAAATAAATCTAACTGCATCAGTTTGTACTCTTTTCATGAAAATTTCACACAGTTAGAGAAGCTAGAGATATGCATGATACTATATAATACATATGACCACAAGATTATAAACCAGTTCTTATCAGTATTCCTCTAATTAAACATTAAACTGATAGAAACGCCAATGCTAGTTTTCATTTGTTAAAAACACTAACCTATTTTCAACAATATAAGTGTGTGTAAAATTGGTGAGAACATTAACAAATTGCTTACAGTAAACTTGGCGTGATGTGAGAATAGAATAATGGTTATTGGCCACAAGAGTGGAATCAGCAAGATGGGTTCAAATCCTGCTTTCTCTGTTGTATTCATTTTAACACAAATATCTTTTAGGAAAGGTATAAATCCATCTCCTTTCTCAGATACTATTGGTCAAATAGCAGAGTAGACTAGTCTCTCTAGCCTTGGGTTGGAGCCAGTTTAGAAGGGCCACTCTGAACTAAAAACTGTGTAGAAGGCAACAGAAAACCATTCCTCTGTTCACAAGAAGTCATGACAATTCACAAATAAAGGTTGAGAATCTTTTATCCAAAATTCTTGAAACTGGAAGTGCCTTGGATTTCAGATTTTTTTTTTTTGAATTTTGGAATACAGGATATTTAATTCTTATATAGCATTTATAAAATATGACAGCTTGAGAAAGGAACCCAAGCATAAACATATCCCTTTACATATCATAACACAAGTTACCTACCTACCCTGAAGGTAATTTATATAAATAACACATAGCCTGAAAGTAGTTTTATATAAAATTTAACAAATTTTGTGTACATACAGCTCCAAATAATGACACTAGTCATGTAATGCTCATACAGATTTGTAAGTGGTGAAATTAAGATTTCAGGTAAAAATAATCTTTTGTACTTTCTGTATATGTACAAAAAAAATGATCCCTGCTTATAAAAAAAATATATAAATGCAGGATTTTTTGACATTTTTAATAATATCTTTACTGATCATGAAACACCTGGTAAGTAATCCACAAATGAAAGTGTTCCTGTGATGATTGCTAAGAAAAAACTGGTGCTAATGTAGCTAGGCTTTCTGAAATTTTCCATTTGTGGCAAGTCATGTCAGCACCTGAAAAACTTTTGGATTTTGGAGGTTTTCAGATTTTGGAATTTCAGATAAAGGATATTCAACCTGCAATAAAAAAAACAAAAAAAAAGAATCTGTAGAGAACGATGATTACCTATGCTCTCAAGACATATAGCATTTAAAACGAAAATCCCACTTTAAGATTCTACAAGAAGAAAATGGCTATCGTCATTCAATTTTTTAAAATCTTTGTCAAATGAGTTTGTGATGGAAACATAGCTTGATCTAGGTCACAGTTCATGTATATGTTCCTGAATCAATTTGTTGCAGTACAATCCATTCACTTAAAGTTCAAGTTTAGTGGGAACTAAATTTACCAAATCACTTGAACATTTTAGGTAGGATACCAACCAAATGAATTCTTTTCTTGTCCTAATTATTTTACTCACCTATAAAAAATAGAAGAACGATAATGATAACAGTAATAGACGCGAACAGCTGTATACTGTATCAGATTTTATTTTGCAAGTCAATGGCATCGCAATAAAATTCGTATTAACCAATTAATGTTAGGATATTTTCATGATATACTTACATTAAATATCAATATAAGTTTCTACTGGACATAAGAAGAGAACAGTTTCATTTTGCAGTTGTTAATATTTACAAGCCACTCCTTGCCTCTTTTAACAACAGATTGTCGATCATTTTTAGATCAGCTGCCAATCACATGATTAATACAGGAGCAATAGAACATATATACAGAACTGATGAAATCAAGAAGGTCATTTATGAAAATTAGGAACAATGCAAGTCCCAGGAGAGAACCCTGGGAAACATCTGCATTAATTCAAAAATATCTAGAAGTACATAAAGCTGATATTTTCAGCAGTGATTTTAATGATGCTTCCCCAATCACTTTTGATCTTAACCTCTTCAAATTCATTTCGTTTTTGCCTTGAAAAAGCCCACATTGAATGAAATGTGCCGGCTAATAATACCGTTTTTCTATTGTCTTTTACCTTTATACATATTGTCTTTTTCTACAGGTTAACTCTGAGAAATTTTTTATAATATCAATTTTGTAAATAAGAAGTGACTTAGCATCAAAGAAAAGTCAACAAAGACAACATTTAATTTTTTTATTTTTTTATTTTTTTTTTCAAAAGGACAAAATGCTTAAAAACAATGTGAGGAAAAAAAAACATTATCTCCATGCTCACAGAAAGCAAAAAAAAGACTGTATTAGAAGGTGGAAGATTTTAATTTTTTTTAAATGTTACAAGCAAGCAAAAGAAGAGTTACTTCTGAAGATGGAATAAATATTAAAAAGTATAATCACCGATTAACAATGATAAACTGCTGTCTGCAAGTATGTTCTGATTGTTTTTACTTTTGGTGTTTTATTTAAATATTTGTTTTTGATAATTTAAGTGTTTTTTTTCTTGTTTACATTTCCTTTTTGTTTATTTAGTTAGACTATTGACATTTCTTATGCTGCTTTTTTTTGTATTTTTAATAGTTTTTACTTCCAATATATTTTCTTTGTTTATCTACTAAGGCAGTCAAAAGAAAGGTTTTTGAAATCACCACATAGTTATCATCATAAGATATAAATAGCATCCTTATATTTGAGAAGAGTCCTGATTTTTGAAAAGACATCAGATAATCAATTGTCAACTTAGATTTGAATCTTTTAGTCAATGTTTCTCTTTACTTAATGACTGCACTGCTTGTTTATAATGCAGTGTAATCATCAATTGAAATTTGAGTGTTTTAAAGTGTAAGTTAAAATTCATTTTTGATTACCAAAGAACAATTCATTTGTTTGCTCATTCTTTCAATTCTTTATTCAGTCTTTCATTTTTTCATGATCATTTCTTTTTTTTTCTTTTTTTAGCTTTTTGAAGGAATGAAGGCATATCGTGGAGTTGATAATAAGATTCGTCTCTTCCGACCATCGGAGAACATGAATCGAATGATTAACTCAGCCAAAAGAACATCCTTGCCGGTAAGCTATTAACACTTTGCTGACTAACCAGAGTACTTGGAACAATTGAATTTGAAGATTGGTGGAGGAAAAAAGCCATAAACAATCAAGAGAGAAAAACAAAAATCTGCATTTTAAATTTTTAAAAAAACAATTCTAGTAAATGATTAAAATTTACCATTTTAATTTTTTTTTTTTTTTTTATTCATTTTTAAACATATAGTGGTTATGATTTTTGTCTATTATTGACACATTTTTTCTATTTTATTTATTTTCTTTTTATATTTAATAAATTTTTCATTTTTGGGGAGGGAGGATGTATTTTTTGCAGGCTTTGAGGTATTTAATGCATTTTGTTTTGTTTTTATATTTATATTTAGATATTAGCATATTTTTTCTTTTATGTTTGTTAAATAAGTTTATCAATTTTCTTCTATTTTCTGTTTCATTTCATTGTATTTTTACAGCTTTAGCTCAACTTAGAACAATTTTCTGATAAAATATATCTTTTTATTCTTTGAATTGGTCCTAGCAAAAATTAATTTGGGATTTATCTGCATTATACTTTTGGATTAGTAATTTATAAAGGCACTTTCAGTAAAAGATATTTGATTTAGACTAATTTATTTTCTACCTAAGTAGATTAGGATTAAAAATAGCTAGCATTGTCAGTGGTTATAAAGTTCTGACAAAAGGTATAATCTCTAGTATAATTTAGCATTGAAAATGGTGGCTGTTATAATGATAGCATTAGGTTTATAATAAGAAATATTAATAATTAGAAGTAATTTAGTTCCTCTCTTTATTTATATTATTTTACATTATAGCCAAGTGGATTAAAATGTTGGTTTGTGAATTTGGTCATATATAATTGTGAGTTCAATCCCTAGTGTGGGTAGTGCAGACAAATATTCAGTGGATACTTGGTGAGCAATAACTGAGCAGGTCTAAATAAAACAAAGCAAGATATCCCTAGACATAGCAGCAGAATGAGAAAAAAATCTATCCCCTTAGATTAAATAAAAGGTCCAGTTCAAAATTCCCAGAAAGGTACCTGGATTGACAGACCACCACATAATAACAACTAAGATGAGGACAATAGTCTGAATGTAAATAGTGTAAATAATATACACCTCATCCAGAAATTTGAACAGAAACTTTCTCTCTCTATTCTACATCTGAATAAAGAGAGAACTCTCAAGTCCAACAACAAAAATATTCATCCTTACCACCAACTGTTTCATGAAACTGTTATATATCATAGTATTTCATTGCATTATCAGATCATCTTTATTTTTCATTAAGGTTATGTTTATTTTTTTCAAAATCACCCTGTGCAAGGCAGTAAAGCCACTAAGATGCAAGGGTTTACTGGGTATGAAAGAATTAGAAAATGAAACATTATTAAAGAGTAAGAACAATAAAAAAAAAAGTTATCAGGGAGTCAGTAGGAAATTATTCACATTGCATTTAAATTTTTGAAGATCAAAGTTAGCTGGAAAACATAGAACCAGAAGAGAGTTCCATAAACAAGAAGTGTGAGAAAAGAAACTGTTAGCAAAGAACTTAGGGTTATGCTTAGCCAATTCAACTGTAAATTGATGAGACCTTGTTGCTAATCTAGTAATGAACTTAAATTCATAAAGGCTATGTATTATAGAAGAAAGTTCATCTAAACAATTACCATGAAAGTATTTATAGAAAAGGCACAGGGAAGTCATGTTATGGCAGTGCAAAGGTGACTGAAGCTGACATGCCAGGTCAGAACCAATAATATTGCTAATTCTTCTTTGGATTTTATAAAGAATCTCTAAATATATAGCATGAGCACCAGACCAGATGTGGCAGCAATGTTTAAAACATGGTTGAATAGTAGACTTAAAGATATATTCTGGAGAGTAAAATTACACGGTGGACCAGCTTTCTTAGCAGCAGACCAAGCAATGGAATCAATATAACCTATCCACATCATTTTGCATAATTTCTTTGCAATATGAAATTGATTAAGGCTATTGTTAAATACTTTTTACAGGATCAATCTCCTCTACAAGAGAATAAAAAAGATATCCACTGAAATGGAAAATCTGACATGGCAGCAAAGGAATCCTTAAAAGTGAATATTTCAAATTTGAAAATCCTCCATACAGATTTCAAAGCAACTATAAGCTGCTATGTTCTAAACAAGTGGTAAGAATTATGAAACTACCAACCAAACAACAAACTTTACACAATTAAATACATTCTAGAAGAATGGCATCATGTTTTCAGACTTTCTTGGAATGATGAAGACATCCTTTCAAGAATGAGAATAGGATACACCTATATCACTCACTCATTTCTCCTAAAAAAAAATATGAACATCCTCTTGAATGCACAGCATGTCATGGGGTATATACTGTAAAACATATTCCAACCAATTGTATTGACCTTGTCCATATATGTCAACAATTTTTTAACATGACCAGTCTAGTTGTCCTTTTCAAGAAGATATAAAGTAGAATGCTATCTTATGAGAACTGGACACCCTACCTGGATTTATTATCAGTGGGTGTAATTCTAACAATATACAATACGCAGACGACATTATGCTGTGATGGTTGACTTGGAAAGAAAACTCTAGGATTAGACAGTATCATTGAAGAAAGAAAGAAAAAAAGGACCAATTATCAACCACAAGAAAACAAAAAGTCTAGTCATTAGCAAAAGGGAAACCTCAAGATGTGAGTTACAAATTGGAGATGTCAACATTAAGAAGATTCAGAAGTTTAAATATCTAGGAAGTGTTTTAACAGGGGATGAAAAATGTGACACCAAGATCCAGACCTGTATTGGTCTAGCAAAAGAAGCATTCCAAAGGCTAAGCAAGGAGCTGATAAATGAAAAAAATTCATTTAAAACAAAGAAAACAATGCTGGGTTAGTATGTGATATCCTACCTTTTATATGGCAGTGAAAACTAGACAATCTTCCCATGAATGGGGAGAAAAGTGGAGACAGCAGAAATGTGTTTTTACAGAAGGATATTGAGAATTCCATGGATGAAGTGAGTAAGCAACAAGGAATTTTTCAAGAAAATGTCAACAGAAAGAACACATCTACTCAAAATCAGGAAGAGATAGCTGAAATTCCTTGGACACTAATGAGGAAGGATAGCTTAGAAAACTTAAAACTCACAGAGCATATTGAGGACAAGAGAGAAGACAGTGAGCCTGATGAACATGTGTGAATGGATGGTGGAATAGTTAGGGGCACCATAGCCTTAGCAAAGGGAGAAGAACTGCTAAGAGCCACAAGGGATAGGAAGTTTTGGAGAGTCATGATCGCTCATGTCCTGAAGGGATGCAGCACATAGAAGAAGAAGAAAGCTTATATACAAGAAAGAGAAAGAAAGTCACTTGTACAATTTATCAATGGTTATTCATATCTTCTTTCTTAAAACTGTATAATAAATAAAAACAGAGTTGAAATTAGCTAAAATCTAATTTCTATAATAATAATACAGAGCCATAGTTGCCCACATTCCTGAAAGGACATGGCACATAAAGAAATCATTTCTTTCAGATATTTAACATAAATTCATAGACATAATGTTCTGATGAGATTTTCTCTTTGGTACATTGACTTTACAAATTCAAGTGCAGTACTAGATTGGCAGCTAGGTCTCATTTTAAAAAACTGAAGAAAAAATCTTAAAGTTTAAAAAAGTTGAAAATTGCTAGATATAACCATATAAGATCTATTCCAATAGTTTTTTCCCTTGCACTTCTCGCCTGTAGAACTCTCTCCGAGATTCTTGTTTTTCAATCAAATTTAAATGAAATATCAATCATCTTCTGTCTCCTTAATTAATGGAGTACCTTATTATTTGCTAATTATTAATTATGCTTGACTAGAGTCACACTGGTTTAGTGGATATATCATTTGTTTGGTTACCACCAAGTCAAAGGTCAAGATACTCAATTCTATAGAAATATATAGAATATATTTGAATATTGTTTTTGTATATATTATCTTGGTTCTCTTTATATAATTTTTTTATATTTTACATTCAGCACTGTTCTTATAGTGTCCTTATCCTTATTTATTCTATTTATATATACATATATATAAACAAATACATGAACCGGTTCTATAAAGGCAGCTAATCTTTAAGAACCTATTCTGCTTCTTTTCAATCTGAGAATGGAAGTAAATCACTTTATAGTATCAAAAAGAATGAAACCATTTTGATAATTTAATAGAAAACATTTATTTATTAAGAAATTTCCAGACTGAAATTCTATTCTCATCATATTTCTGCTCAGAAGCATGATGCTTTTTGACTCTAGTGCCATCAGCTGTGTTATCATTTCTTAGCCACATTTGAACTGAATTGCTACAGTTCCAAAGATCTAATAGAAGACCTATCAAATTTATTACTAGAAGATTTTCCACATTTTTAATTTCAAGACAATTTCTTTTGTCAGATTAAATGATGTTCATCACAGAAAACCCTCCTTCAGCCTCAGCAGAACTTACAGCAATGATATTAATTATATTTTATCTATTAATATATAAGATTATTTTTGGATAATCCAACAACTGGTTCACTAAGGTTTTATAATAGGGATAGAACCTACATCCCCCCTTATAGAAGAAACCACCATTTGATCCTGTGTGCTTTACCACTCAGCCACAAAGAACATCACAGCAAGTTTCTATTTTCTCCTTTTTAAAGAAAGCACATTCTCTTCACCCAGATCATTTTCTCAAGAGCCCAGTTTCATATCCAAAATATAAGAACAAACCCATGCATGAATAAAGAAAACTAACTGTGATGATTATTATTTATACCATTTTTGGTTTCATTTGCATTTTCATCAGAAAAAACAACATTCTGCTGATCTGGCATTTATTTTTTTATGTGTGATTCTGCAAACAGCATTGATATTGTAAATTAGGTTTTTATTTCATTTAATAATTTGGCTTATGTTAATTAGTTTATTTGTAATTATCCCCTCCCTTCTAACACTCTTCTGTTAT